TAAGCATACATCCTTTTAAGTGCAGGAAATTCCATTATTTTTGATGCACTGGAAAAGAGGGACAGTGAGATCCACCCAGAACAAAAATAACAACTAAAGGTCAACAAAATACACGGAGTCAAGAGATCAAAGTAGAATGAGAAGAGCTGGAGGCTGACATTATTACAAAAACTACCTAACATTGCATATATGACGTTTTTGAAGAGGTGAAAAAAAGTCAGAATTATGGACTGAAGTCACAAAACCCATACACTTGGCACAATTTCTTTAACAGCAGTCTGCTGTTTAACAACAGCACTGCACAAGGAGGGAACTATTGATTCCTCTCTGCTCTCAGGACTGTGAGGGTATATTTCATACGTCTGTCTTCCCCCTGCCCTGGTTCAGAACTGCTTCAGTTCTGCTCTGTCCTGTTTGTGACAGAGACCAGTTACACACACAGCCTGGATCCATACTGTACCACAGTGATCCTCCTCTGTTCTCTTCTCCATTTTTCGTATTAATTTCTAACATTCAACTTGCTCTTGCTGGACAGCCACAGATCACTGAGCCAACCTTCACACTCAGTTATCACAACGCCAACAGCTCATTCCCGAGTGAGGCCAGAACCCCTCATTTTGTGTATAAGGCCAGCATGAATCTTTCCTGACTTGTTTCACGCTGGTTCTAGCTTTGCAGAACTTCATGTGCCTTTCGAGCACACATTTGTCCACTGTTTTGTCCTAAGACCGTTGCTGAATCTGTGCCTGATCCTTCTTACGTAAAATGCAACATGCCCACAACAGCCTTGACAGCACTGAGAAAAGAAACAGGCAGGGAAGCTCCCAAGAGGAAGCTGCTATTTGCTGCCAAGCTCCACCCGTGGTCATTAAGGTGGAATTTGGTTTGACTTCGAGCAGGGCTCAGCCTCTCCACACGCCTCCTGAGCAAGTACATCTTACCCAAATCTCCTGTGCCTAGCCACAGCCGATAGAAATGCCACCACCCATTTGGGAGAAAAATAAATAAATAAATAAATAAATAAATAAATAAATAAATAAATAAAGCCTTCTAAAAACTGGACCCCGAACCAATTTTCTTGTAGTGCTGGAATTTCTAACAGTCTGTTCAGCTCTTGACACACCACGTTGACCTTCCGTTACCAACAAGCAACGAGGAAATGCAAAACCAATACAGAATTGTTTCTATGGTATTATCTGCCACGAGGTTAATGCCAGTCTGATTGAAACACCAGCTGGGGAAAACACGTTTTGAGATAGGTATGTAAAATCTGGAAAACATCCTGCAGGGATATTCTTCAAAACCTTCTGCCCAGCTGCTGCACGGTGGCTATTACCAGCAGTGCTGGGAAGGCACCAGAAACCATGCAACTGTGATACAAAACAGTTCTTTTGCAAGGCCTACTCCCTAAGAGCTGTAAAACTCCCAAAATCAAGGAAAAGTCTTACCGTAAATATCAAGCTACAAATGCGACTTGAGACTGGGAAGCTTATTCCCCACTCCTCCAACTTTATTTTATTTTTAAAATCTAATTGCAGTTTTTACTGAGATGTCTAATTTACACGAATGCTTCCCAGCGACACAAATGCAATCAGGTAATGGCTTGAGAGCTGTACAGATGACATGAAAACCTACTCTCAAACTACGTTATAAATTTAATACCTGCAGTACCCAGGTGTCCACATGAGATTAACAAAACATCCCTCTGTCTTCCCATCTCATGTGATAATACCCACAGTATTTTAGCCATCAGTACAAGCATCTCCAGTGCCATTAAAAATAGAAAATCAATTATTGCAAAACAAATAAATTTATCTAAATAAAAATATATATATATACTTTATCAGCCTTTAATTTACTTTTTTGTTGCAGGGGAAACACTCATCTGACATATAGATCTGCCAGGACTCAAAAACACAACTCAAAACTATTTACACAAAAATGCACATATTTTCTGTATGGAAAGACATTTGCAGTTATCTAGGGTATATTTTTTTCTGGAGCTGTAAAAAAATTTCTCATGCTTCAAAACTTAGCCTGTAAAATAAATAAATAAAAGCTAGGACTTTTTGTTTATCCTTGGAATACCTCAGTGGTCATGTTTTTTCCAGAAAGATGATCAAACTTTCCCTCCAAGCAGCTACCTCCTCTTCTAAAGGCAAATAGGTGTCAAATGTGAAGTTAACTCTACTTTAGAATAAACCATCAATGTATCTTCTCGTTACAAATTATTGACCTCCAGGAGAATGACAGCAGCTATAGCAACAATGCTAAGGAAATGTAGTTTTGACTGGTTTATTATTTCATTGAGAATCCCAGCAGATGTTTAAGCAAGGCTGCGTTCACAGGCTTATGCATTTTGCAGTAAGGGAGTCTCATATATGCTACAATTTTAGTTGCAATATTAACAACACTGGAAAGCCCTTTAATTTAAAGGCTCTAAGTTTACATGCTTCTTGTGACAGCGTTGAAGTTGCCATATGGAAATTCAAATGGCATACACAAAAAGTACAAATTATTTTGTAAAGGCCTCATTGCTTTGCAATGAATAGAATTGATGGGAATTTCCCAGCAGGGTCAACATTTTTTCTACCTTATTCTAAAATGCCTTCTGGAGATGGCAGGGAGGCTGAAAAAGAGCTTTCCTTTTTAAAAGTTTAGCTTTTTCACTTGTCTTCCTATTTGAGGATTAAGCAATCATCAGCAATGCAGTTTTGATGCCACAGATGAGCATACCAATTTCCTGTCCATCTTGCTTCACGCATTCTAATAGTCATTTATTGACTTAACTGTCTCTTTCTTTTCACTTTTTTCTTTATTATTTTGGAAGAAAAAAAATGCTTTGTCAACATCAGAGGGAGTATTTTAAAAATTACATTTAGCGAGCCCTGCAAAAACAGCGTATTTTCAGTTTAAAGAGAAGTATCACACGTGGAACCTCCCCTTCAGCCCCTGCATCCCCTGCCAGATAAAAGAGAACCAGCTTCAACAACACTGCAAGAAATGCATACTTTAGAATACACAACACAAGAATGTGATGATTGGATTTGGTACAAATCTGAGACGTTAAACCAGTTCAAAAGGTCCCTGAAAAACGTAGCACTAAAACTTTTATTATTTTAGCAGGTGGCACATTATCACTCTTACAGACTGGTAATTTTCCTTATTATCCCCTTGACTGCACATATAACACAGCAATATGAACCTAATAATGACTATAAAAATTTCCATTAACAATGGAGCTTGCTATTTACGCACACCGAATGTGGTACCAGACCAGTGTATGTGATTTTTTGACTGATGCATTGTGCTACTGTATAAGTCTGCAGAATTTTCACACCACCACCACCACACAACAAACTGTTACAGGGTATGAAACCCGTAACTTAGCATATTTGGTTTTATAAACCTTACGTTTCCTCATCTGTCCCAGTGACAACAGAGCTGCACGACAGGAGGAAAGCAGAAAAGCACATTATTATACAAGAGTCAAATTGCAAATTATTTTACTCTAAGCATATACGAAGCTTTGTACTTGGATGCACGAGTACAACAGACTTTTAAAAAGGTGCAGAGTTATTCAAAATGCCTGTAAGGTGCGCTGTTACTTCTCTTCTGTCATTCTGTAATCACACATTCCTCAGAAAAGACAGAAAGGATCTGTCCATCAATAGACTTATTTTTACCACCTTCCCAGACAAACTGCTGCCCTGAGATGTGCCCACAAATCTCTGTCCCCAGCTCTTCTGTGCTTAATAAATGCTCAGAGACAACTCAAAAAATCCTTCAAGTTGCAAAGGCAGCAGCCAGACACTGCTTTTGCATGGCCACAGAAGGGCAAGGGACCCGGGTTGCTCTGTCACACCATGTTTGTGTATGCTCCTTCATCCCTCCTTATTTCAACAGCAGAAACATGCACAATTGCTCCCCCCGGTACTCAAATGATTGAAACAGTGATTATTGTTTCCTCTCTGAAGAGAAAAAAATAAATAAAAAAAATTAATACTCTGATTCTTCCTAAAGAATGATGACAAACATCTTGGCCTGACGGTGTGCAGTCATTAGAAATCACCTTTACTGAGCTGATTTTGACAGTTCCTGCAGCAAACCTCGTATCTTTGTACAATTTTGCTCTAAGTAAAATCCTTAATTTTCTGCATTTAACATGTTAAGCAATTAAACATTCATATCACCACCTCTGATTCGTTTCCTCTTAAATGTTACATCAGCAAAAAAAGCACTGAACACGGAAATTATTCTTTGCTTGCAAAATTGGGGCTCAGTAACCAGACGAAGATTTGTTTTGAGACCATCTATCGAGACACGTTCTTCACAGCTAACTGGTATGTGCTTTGATCACCAGGATCAGCTAAGAACTGCAGGCAGTTACCAAGTCAGACTACAAAAATAAGGAGAGTGGTGTATACAAAAAATGACGCCGACTTTCCTCATCAGTGGCAGGATCTGAAAAGACCAACTCCACTGCAGTGGTTTATGCTTTTTTACAGCAATGGAAGCTGAATGAGATCAGTGCTGGGTGTTTTTCAAAAGCTTCCTTGTTCTTAATGATCCCTAAACCAAAAAAAAACCACATAATTGCTACAAGGTTGTGAGATGACTTCTGTTATCCTTACTCCCATATTCAGTATCAGAAAATTATCTGTATCTATGAGATTCTCCAACATGGAATGTGAACTGGAGAAAACACGAAATACATTATTAATGCATTCATAAGACAACTGAGTTAGTAAAAAGCGGGATACGACATGTATGCTTGTTTTTTATTAACTCAGTTGTCTTGAGAACGCATCTAACATGACTCTTTCCCTTTTCAAAAGTACTTCACATCCTCCTCCCTTATGACGGTGGTAACTGACGCCTGATGGTTTAAAAAAATAATCCAGGAAAGACAAGCAGGATTCTACCACATTTTCTCTAGTGCTTTTTGCTACTAAGCAGTTTTCAAAAGCATATGGAAATAAGAATTCAGTCAAAATTACCTTAATAACCAAGTCAAACTTCTGGTGCAAATCTCTGTTTATTGGTTTCAGGAGCGTGAGTTCAGCTGTTGTGAGATTCATATGGAAATACTGTGGATAATCCTCGGGAGTACCTGTAAAAAAGACACTGAGGTTTGAACAAGTCTGAAAGATTTAGTTTAACAATGCATTTTATTCATAAGTCACAAAAAGAACAAAACCCAATCCTGTTACTATAAGGATAAAACATTGCATAATGTGTACATGTAGCCTAATTGTACAACAAACAGTATGCCGTTAATAACATCATTTCCTTACTCCCTCTAATCATGAAGGTTCCTCTCAACTGGGAATACCTAAATAGTTGATAATAACAGCAGGAGCCCCCACACACCTGCAGTTGGTGGAAATTCAGCTTCTCGGGTTCCAGGAGATTAGCACACATGTAATCAGCTAAGAGGATATACGGAGAAATGCTGTTTCACTGCAAATCATCTTCCACTTCCACCCACCACATTTCTGAAACCCAACTTGCTAAACATACAACCGAGATTTCTCTTTTCAGCTTTGAAGTAAAGTTTCCCTTGAGGTATCACATCATGACATTAATCCCAAACCAAACAATGCTACGTACCGTGTTCTGCATGCAAACATACACACAAAGGAAATACATGAGGTGTTGTGATTAAGTTGTAAAGATTTTACAACTATGCTCGAGATATCCATGTTACTGCTTGAAGACAGTGCCCTGATTTTGCAATCTAAAATAGGTGCTTTGATACTTCGGCTCTTGTAGGTCTCTCGTACCCATGGACAAACTCCTGTTATTACTTCAGTACCTGTCACCTTACGAGTCTAAGAAAAGAAGTTTCTCATCAGAGGAGACACCAGATGAGACCTTATCCACGTCTAACAGCTTCCACTCATCATCAGCAAGTAGTGCCTTGGTCCAGAGCTCCCAGGATACCCTCTGACCTGGTTAAAGCCGAGGCTGTCAGAGCCGGAGTGGAGCTGCGAGCCCACAGAAACCCCACTGCGCCTGGCCTGTGCTGCCCAGGTATGTCCTCAGGGCTCCGTGCTCAGGCCACAAGGCTCTGGCACAGGACCATGCAGACAGAAGGAGGTAAGAATTAAGCTACAGTGATTCTGAGCCCTGTGGCTCTCAAAGAAAGCAGGCAAAAAGGTAGCAATGGGTGAGCATTAATTGCCGGGGCTGGATGAAGACAACAGTTCAGCAGCAGTCTCTTACCTACCTGACAGCACAGCCCATACCACATTTTTTTCTAAAAGAGTAAGGTATGTTCACTCCTTGTGTGTGTATCAGAAAGCTGTACCCACCTACTGTTCTCTCGTGTCTCGTCCCACTTTATTCTGGTTTCATTACCTGACTTTCCCTCAGCTGGGGAGCTGAGACCACAAACCTGAACAGAGCAGGGCTCAGAAAGCCAAAGCTGTTAGTAACAGCATGACCTCTGGCATCTCACAGCTTAGCAGTATTACTAAAAGCATACGAAGAAACAAAAATACGGATTAAGTGTCTAAGATGTTGAGTCATTTTAGGTCTAGGCATAGCGCGGTGTAGCAGCTGAGAGGCAGAAAGCACTTTGCTGATAGCATGAATGCCTCACTAAGTCCCCTGAGCTCCTGGGTTCCTGTATCTTGAAGCAGCCATGAGAGCAGGACAAATACTGCCAGGCCAAATCCTCACCACGGAATAACAGGCTATAAGATTCAACAAAAAAAGACCACTTTTCTGATAAATGATGCTATTACTGTTCACCTTTGAAGTGGAATGATTAGAAACCGCTTTTTGAAAGTCTGTAGCTACCCCAGGAGACAGATTACTGCCCAAACCCATGTGCAGTAATTTAATTTGTCCCTCATCATATGACAACTGTTTGCTAAATTGTGTCTCTGTATACATAGGTATCACGGAATCATATATACACATTCACACATAAATACACACATACATTCTGTGAATTTTTCTCTATACATCTATGCCATACACCTCTATGAAATATTTTTTCCTCAACACCACCAATGTAAATGTGGCGTTTCTAACTCTAAGACCTTTTTCTCCCTCCTTTAAATTTTGACTCCTAATTAACAAATTTAATTTTTTAAGAGCATCAGGCATCCAGCAGCAGTTCTGAGCACATGGCAGATAACAGATTGCTGTACTCTTCGGAGGCTGCACTCACATGGGTTGATGCTGAAAGTTAGGAAAAAATCAAGAAATTAGGAATAAAATTCAAAAAGCACCAAGAAAGAATAAAAGAAAGAAGAAAACAGAGTTCCTTGAAGGAGAACAAATACATAAGTGAGGATGGAGATGGAGTTTTCCAGGAACTGCTCCTGCACAAAAACAGTTGCACCCTGACAGAGCAGAGCAACCCTCAGTCTATGCTGCTGCCTGAACTGCTTTGAGAAAGGAGGAGTTGTCTACTACAGCCCTAACTAGGATGATCATGCAGGACAGGACAATGGCCATGATGTGAAGAGCACTCTTAGGTTTGCTTTCCGTGGCGCTGAGGAAGGCTTTCACCTTCCTGCCGTGCATCAGGGAGCTTGCAGGGTTAGAGAGAAATCCCTGAACATGTTGCTGTGTTTTTTGTCTCTGTTTAAAGATCAAACAAGTAGAACAGTTAATTTTCTGAAGCTGATAGAAGAAATCACAGACACAGTTCCATGGTCAAATCCAGAAGCCGATGATTTAAAGAAAAACATGACTTTTCTGAAGGACCAGACCGGAGAAAAGAAAGCCTTAAAAATACCAACAAAAGCAACTCAGGGTAGACTTTCAAATAGGACTGAGAAGTAAATGCAGAACAAGTGCAGCACAGGGTTACGGTGTAGTTAGCACAAAGGAACAAAATGGGGTAAGGCTGCAGATGAGGGTAACTGAGAAGATGGGCTGGGTCCTACGCTGTTTCTAAGGCACATGCTACATGCAGAGGGATGCCAGGCACTCTGTGTGGGTCTACTGCAATGACTCATGCATATTAAAGTTCCTTAAAGTCAATGAGTGCAAAAATTTGTGCATTAAAAAATTCCAAACACCAGGTTTCCAAGATATCAAGCATAAGAGATGAATTATTACAGTTTGATTCTCTCCTCTGAAGTACTTTCTTCATGTACATTAGCCAATACTTGAAACAGAAGACAACAACCCCAGTACCACTCTGCTGAAACTAGTGCTCTAGTCTTAGAATGAACCTTTAGGAATATTTAAGACTTGAACTTCTGTAATTTTATCAGTACGAGTCCATAACTACTTGAATAAGCACTTTCAGACATCTTAATACATCCTTTGAGAGGACTGCACTCAGAGGTCAGAGCAAGCAGAAAATGATGGGCTTGGGCTATTTCTTCATTTCGCAAGAACCTTAACCCTCAAGTTACATTTGTCTTCGGCAGTGCTATGCTCGCATGAATGTGTAGCAACTTTCACAGGCATTTTCCTTATCAAGTGAGTTTCTTAACTCCTTTTCAATGGATTGCAGGGGAACCTGTTGTTCTCAGAATTGGAGAGGTTCACTTGTACCCTCCTCACAGGAAAGACGTTTGGTGAAAGCAGCACTGAAGCATTTACCTGACACTTGAAAGGCCAGTTACCTTAAAAGCATGACAGGCAGAGATCTTTATGAGCACTTAAGGATGAGGTTAGCAGGCCACATCAGGTGGAAGCGAGTTATCACTGCAGTGATGCTGGGCATTGTTAACAGAAAGACTTCTTGACAATATATCCCAAAGATATCAAGAAAGATGTGCAGAATTCATATATAAAATCCACAGTGCCCAAAGCATACGCCAAGACTTGACTTGTACAGGTGTGCAGCAGAAGGAAGAAAGCAGGGTAAAAGAACCACCACATTAGAACTCAGTCAACTCAAGTAAAATTCAAAATCAATCTCATTTCGGTAAGTAGCTTATTTTCTCATTCTGTATTCACAGTTCAGACCTCCCAGTGTTTAAAAAAAGACATATCTGAGCATATAAAGAACTACGTTTAGATCTAAAGCAAGGGAAAATCCATATGAGAAATATCTGCAAGGCCTAATTTCCTGTGAAACTATTTAAAATTTTCTGCAGTAAAGGCTACAATATAAATAGCACTGCATACTGGCAAAATGAAGACGGACTTAAAAACTAAAGAGAAATCCTTCTGAAGACCATGGCTCAAAAAGGAGAAAAAAAAAAAGAAAAAAAAAAGAGTAGCCTTTCCAATGAACAATTAACTAAAAAATCAGACTGCTATAATGCATGTTTCTAAATTATCTCTTCCAGGTCACAACAATCACTCAAACATTAAAAATATCACACGTTAATACACACAATTTTTATTAAGTTAACCTTCTAATGAACTTTGCAAGTCACTCAAAGAACATTAAACGAACAGGCTAAATGTTGCACTTGGACTTAACTGTCAATAGCTGAACTTACAAATAATCCGAATCAGTTTCCACATATAGAATTACTTGGTGCATTTGCTCTACAAATGTTTACAAACCTCCTTAACAAAGTAAGCCACAAGCCGGCTCTCTAGCAGCAATTCCTTTGGAGGAAAAGTGTCCAATGTGTCAAAATCACCTAAAAATGTGGTGTTGTTTGTAATCATGGTGAAGCTTAACGTTAACAGTTTCCTATGACCTTAAGCATTGGCCAGCTCTGCGTGGTATGGCACCCAGTCTTTTGTACCCTCTGAAGATAGTCCTGAAAATAACAGACATGCCAATCCATCAAACCTGCTTTTTTCCCCTTTCACAACAGACCTATAGTATACAGAAGCCTGTTTGTTTGTTTTTTTTAAAGACAAGTAAAACTATTCAATATGTTAATAATTAAAATTTATACTTTCACAGCAAGAAGTCCACATAGCTGCAGTTTAATGCAGCAAACATGAAACTGATGCAGTTACACAAAATACAAATTCTCAACTCCCGTGCTAGACACAGGGTTGGGAAATACTACGGTGTTAAGTCTCTGTTTGTGAAGAACAGGGCAGGTGGAGAACTGGAATTGCAAACCACCGCTTTAGGGCTTTCCATTATTAAATCATACAAGCTAAGCAATTTGAAACAGATGTCAAACAGAAGAAAATAGCAGGAGAAAAATAAACAGCAGAATACAAGATGTCCCCCAGCGAGGTATCTACCTCTGAACTCTTGCTACAACTGCACCCCTCTCTGACCAGAAAAGAGCCATGTCAACTAAAAAACAAAAACAACCAACCAACAAAAAAGCCACAAGGGAAAGAAAGCATGCAAGCTCGCAGGCACCAAATTAAAGTTGAATGCAGTAAGACCCTTTAAGTTGCTCTGTGACAGGAGGCTTTTGGAAGGAAACTGCTCTTACTGCCTTTCTGTAGAAATCTATTACACTACTGTCTCTGCACCTGTGAATGAAAAAAATGCATTGCAACATAGCTATGAGCACAGACAAGTCTCTCTCCTTTTGCTTGCTGTGTTGCTCCGTTGGCCAAATCAGAAACTTCTGAATCTAATCTGAACAAATAAAAAATAATGCAGCCATTTGGAATAACTTCTACATTGCAGTTAAACATAAATAGGTAGAACAACGATTTCAAACATCCCACTAACCACAAAATTTATTAGGTTTCCACACTCCCAGTCAATCTTTCTCTGGTCATAGCAAAGTGACCGATCACGAGTGATAGCAAGAGTAGCAGACACCAACCAACTAGGATGGAATAGAGGATGCCCGGTCGATCAGAAGGAGGCTGGATGTTTCGGTCTTGATCTATGGCTTGTATGGGTGGAGTGACACTGATAGGGTTCACATGTGCCTGAAATGAAAAATCAGACAGATTTCAAACAAATTAGAAAGCCAGTAGGCAGGTCTTTAGGTTTAATACAAAAACATCCCGCTGTAAAGGATATTTGCTGAAATTATAGGAGAAAAAGTACTCATGTATTTAAGAGAATACTTACAGCACATGTCCCATTGAAATCAAAAGTATGTAGATAATGTATATATTTCTACAGTGATCTTCTGTGTTTTTGATACATTTTATATTACAACAGTGTCTTCAAAGAAAGGCTCTCAGCTCATAAATGTTCAAGCAAATGCTTGACTATGCTACTATAAATAGTCCTTGAATCAGACATTTGAGACATCATCACAGCAGTGAAATACAGCAAATGCTTTAAAGAAAAGAAATAAAAATAAATCCTATTTGAGAATCATTAGGAACGATACACGAATTTATACTACAAAATAAATTCAAGCCAAAGTACCAGACGTTTCAGGGACAGGCACATCTGAAAAGTTTGGACAGACACTACAGTGATTCGTACTGCAATAATGCACACCAGGATGGAGCAGTGGGGTGATCTCGCACGCTGAACATGGAAACAGAAAGCAAGAAAAACAGGCTTTTTTATCCTATTCAAAGGCTTTCATCTTGTTTATTATTTGTATTCCTATTCTGTGACCCACCAAATTCAGAGTGTTCCCATATCTACTTGCAGCACGAAGCCTTCATTGTAGCTCTGAATGTTTTCTGAAGCTTCCCTATGCCAGCACACTCTCCAGGGGTAACACCAGTGCTGGCATTCCCAGCGCAAAAAGAACAGTTTCAGTAACCTTGGCTGTTCAGTCACCTAGAAAAGTAGCTACTCCATTAATAAACATGTCCCAATCTTTCCCCTCCCCTTCTTGTAGCTTTTAATTGCACGGCCAAACTGTTCAATAACCTCTATGAAAAGCCAGTCACCTTTTTCTCCACATATGACTAAACCTGGCAGCCTTTGCTTCGGAGAGTTCGAACGCTCCACGTTCTGCAAGAGGGAACTTGAAATTTAGCATAAGAATAGGAGTGAGACAAGTCCACGCTTGGTCAAGTTTTGGCACAGCCTTTAGTAACCCCCTCTGCTAAGATCTAGAAGAAATCTGCATGAGTGTTAGCGATGCCCTCAATAAATCTATAGGGAAAAGAGATGAGCCAGGAGGAGGAAAACAAGACAAGATGGATGCGAGGGAACCTATGAGAGGAAAGCTAATACCTCCTGCTTATGATTTTGGATATGGAGCCACGTGGCTGTCTGTAGCAACACACAAACTACTCTGCCCAGGATCTGCCCCCCCAGAAGTCCCTTCCTTTGGGTTCCCGGCTCTCTGCTTAGGGCTTCTTCCACAGCTCCCAACGAGCAGAAGAGGTCCTTTGCTTCCACTTTTAATTCTTTAAAAAATTAAACTCTTAAAAGTATAATGAGGAAGATGGGCTCAAAATAGGCATAAAGAAAGAGAGAAGAAGATATATTTGACATATGTTTGAATTTTTAAAATGCTTTAGGACTGCACAGAAGTTACACGCTGAGAGACAAGATTATGCATAAGTGTCCAAGACAAAAAGATGCTATTTTTAAAGTCATAGATCAGTTGAAGCACTTGCAGGCAAATCTAGATTATGGTTAAAAATATGCCCACAACAAAATAAATCATTTGCTAAGACTAGCTAAATTTTTAAGTCACAATTACAATATTGCGGGTCAAGCTGAAATGTCTCAGCCTATGCTAGAGAAACAGCAATGGATCTAACCTTGTCAATAACGAGCTGTCAGCTGTACCTGGCTGCTGAAAGTACACTAAAATAATACCTTGTGGATGTATAATTCAGATAGCAAGGACATGCACTCGCTTTACATCCCAATTCAGGAAGAAGCTCAAAAGCAGCATTTAGAAAAAACACATTTGAAATTAAAGAGATTTTACTTGAATAACATATAACACCCCACGGTGCCACCATTACACTAACTCCTCCAAACCAAAGCCATCAATTGAACAGAATGAGTTGTATGAGAAAAAGAATGAAAGATGAAATCCACTCTCTTTTATTCTATGCACCATGCAAGTTGGTTTTCTAAGTATTGTACACACTCTGAAGCAGGCTGCTTATAAACTAGAAGATACCACACAACACCATCAGTCACAACCAGCTGAAATGCCTAGGGATAATTTAAAGCAGCTTTCAATTAAATTAAATGATGTGCCTTGAAGCAACGCTAAAGGTACTTTCCTATTGTTTTAATAATCTGTGGATAATGCGTCTTTTTCACTTGAATTAGAACTATGAAAACTTAACTGCACCAATGACGCTCCCATTAAGTACACTAATTATCTTGTAAAAGCATATTTACGATCTTTCTAGAAGTTGTACCTATACTTTTTACGAAAAATAATTAAAGATTCGTAGTCAAAGTATGCTTTGATCAACAGAGATAATAACCATTGTTATTATCTAGGGATATTTCTTCCTTTCATGGCACTTGGGGATTGCAAAGGCTTTAGCAGGTGCTCACAGCATCACCCCCATGCTGCCGATGTGGCTGGAGGCAGTGGACACAATGACAACACCCGCCGTCACCAGCACGACACTCCAAGGAATGACCAGGCTTTGTGTGGCCCTTGGAGAGAAAGGCCACAGTCACATCTCCGCAAAGGTGGCTCTCAACTTGTGCAGAGGGGGTAGAGCCTCCTCGCAGCTCCGCCGAGTGGGCACGACCCAGTTCAGGTATTGCAGAACGAGGTCTGTGCAGCCACCGCTGCTTCTTACATCCAGCTTCCTTGCAAAGCACACGCACACAAAAGCACTGTCAGAAGCAGCCTCGACAGAGGGCTCCATAAAACAGTGGAAACTCATTAAAAAGAGGGGAAAAAAGACTGCTGAAGAAGTAAAATGTTCGCAGGGGAGCACAACTGCTTAAGGACACTCAATCGGAGGCAAACAAAAAGCTCGTGTGGCTTTTATCAAGTCAAGCTTGAGAAAGGGCAAGGGGAGTCAGCACGACTAAGCAGCAACACAGGGAAACTGCTCAGGCGTCCTTCAAAACCAGTCACATGCTCGTGAAGAACATAAAAGGGTTCACAAGCTCTGGCAGGAACAGGTGCTTTGAAAAAAAAGAAAAAAAAAAAGAGATCTGTCAGTTCTATGGTAAAATATGCAGTCATTTATTTACTCTTTCCCCAATAGGGAAGAGATCTCTCAGTTGCTGGGTTTGGTATTAACAGACTTCCTTGCGTTCAATAATACAAAAATAAATAAATAAATAAAATAAATTAGAAATTATATCACAAGCAATAAAATTAAAAAATTCTTTCTCAAACAGAACTGCAACAGGAAGCCTGCCAGAGTCTGTAGCACCAACAGGTGATCAAGGCGAAAAATAAAGGAGGAAGGGAGAGCTCAGAGAAAATAAGGGAGTAGTTGGAAATCCGATTTATTTTTCTGATGCCTTGCAGGACTCACTGGAAACCAGAATACTCACTGACACTGTAGACTGAACAATCAAAACAAAGAGTAAAAAGTCAAAATGCACAAGCCAAAACGCAGCATTCCTATACAGAGGAATCTTCTCAGCTTTTCTCTGGAGGCTGCTGAGTGCCAGCAACCATCCTTTTCACTGCAATCAGGTAAGACGTGATCGCCTGCAGGCTATGAGGATGGAGCACCGGGAATCTTTCCCTCGGCTCTTTTCAACTAAAGATCCCTCCTAAGTTACTATGAAATGAGCAGTGGATACCACCATGTTTATTCACAAATGTCATCAAACTGTCCCCATCGCTAAATGGTACACGCTTCCAGAAGCAGCAGCAGCTACTCTTGTTACAGGGAGAAGACTTGACATTACTATTACAAATTCAAAAGGGCTATAATACTTTCTAGCCCTAGAAAGGGCACAGCAAGCGTTCATTCAAATGCTTTTTTCCCAGCTATACTCAATGCCAAGACAAAGCTTGTATTAATTTCCTAAGCTCTTTTTGTGTCTTGCTCTTTGACCTGCGTGGTTAGCCACAATTTGGCTGCAAATTGTTTCTGTTCATCAGAGAAGCCAATAACAGGGCCAGGTCTGCTTGAAACAATCCCGTTTATTCGGAAGGAAAGCTAAAGCCACATTTCACTAGAGAGGAAAGAAAGAGAACTTGCAGTTCTCCTGCATACATCTGTGAACACACTTAACCACGCAAACTCTTGCTGCTTTCATCAGCGAACAGACTGCCACCACCTCTGAGGCACTCCTTTCCTTCTCTGCCTGCCGCTCGGTTTCAGCATGCACACACAGATGATCTCTCTATTTCAGACAGCGACACATGGCTAGATCACAGACGTCTAAGAGAGATAACATGTTAATGAGTATCACATTAAAAAAATAATAGATTGAAAAGGTTCCCTGTTTTTTCTTACCTGAAAATTTCATGAAACTATCTATAGAAAGAGATCTTTAAACCAGCAAGTTATTGATTAGTCCCAAAGCTGTCAAAGTAAGCCATAAACCTCCACTTGCAGTCTTCCAACAGGGTTTTAGCCTCTTAATAAGGATAGCGAGGAAAAGGAACGAACCATTTATTGAATGGTTTATTTGTAAATAAAATTATAATTATATTTTAACATACGTGTAAATAAAAGGACTGCAGCAGCGTTCAATAATCTATGCTGTAGCCAGCAGGCTGCCTACAAGACATCATTTTTGCAGAGAATAGTTAAACCCAAGCAAGAGATCACCAACTTCAGAGTACTCATGTACCTTTCTAACACCTTCCACCTTCTCTTGTTCACCTGGAGCTCATCTTCCTGATTTTTAAAGTTGTGCTGTCAGAAATACTCAGCTGTAGTTAATGCAATAGTAACTCTTTCAACCTCATATGAGTGAGAGCTGAACTTACTCTGCATACCTGTAGTTTTATTCGGCTGCCTCCCCAGGACATGGTGACTCCATGCAGTATTAAACAACAGCATTTATGTGACCCCTCAGATCAGTAACTCAGTTGTGCCAGTATCTATCACTG